AAGGACAGCAGGCTCCTGCCAAGGGCTTACAGTTTGAGTTGCTATGATACTGTGTAGGGTGGTTTGAATTGCAAATGCAATTTAAATTTTTTAAAAATCATTGCATCTTACAGGAGGAGCAAAATTTCCTTATGTACTATTACACTTTAGCTGTATATCATGTTATCAATGTTGGATTTGCAGTTGTGGGATTTTCTTGAACCATTCTCTCCAAAAGAACCAATTTGCTGATTGAAGACTTTGTGGCACATTGTACTGTACTTGTGTTGCTGATGTAAAAGTAATATCATTTCTCTTTGGATTAGAATATCAGAAATCACTTAATTCAAGTATTAGTACATTTATTCTAATTAATTTCTATGCCATTTTGTGCAGATTGCTCAAATGACCTTCAGTTTACCACTAATTTCTACATTTCTAGAATATCGCATTATGATACTCATAAAAACCCGTATATGAACGGGGTCAACTCTGGGGTAATTGGACCACACAAAGATATTCATTATACGTATCTGTGCAAGCTAAATTCCACCAAGCAGCCTGTAGGTTATAACAGATTATGAAATTTATACATAAATTTCAATGTACAATGATACAAAATTTGACTATAGGCTCAGTTCTGTACTTACCAAAGCAATGTTATCTGTGGAATGCAACAATTAGGACGGAATAGTGTTGTAATGATACTGTTTGCTTGCTTGGATATTATCTTGTCCCTTTGCCTTACTCCCTCCCTTGCCTCCTTCAAGGCACAACACAAGACCCTCCTTTTCGACTGTGCCTTCAGCCACACTCCTACCTCTCTGCCCTCCCCCCACTCAGCTCAGGTCCTGATCCCTGACTGTGCAGTGCCTTGGGGTGTTCTCCCAACATGAAAGGTGCTTTACAAATGTAATTTTGTTGTTGTTGTCGTGTGGAGGAATTTTTGAGCATTACCTGTAGTTGCTCACCTCCCTAAGGACATTAATTAAATTGTTGATTTCAAGTTGTATAGGTTGTATTTACAATCAGCTTTGATGGACCGAATTTTTTTTNGCACCATACTTTTTTCAATGTGAATTCAAGATGTGAAGCAAAATAAGACTGAATTTGCACAAATTGAAATCATTGAAAAATTATCCTGAATACATTTTAAACAAAACTACTTAAAGTTTTTACTTATTCAAAGTAATGGGTATTCTTTAAATAAACTGCAAATAAATATCTCATCAGTTGCTCTCATGTCCTACAAGTTCAAATCATAATAGCTGCAGCTGCTGTCAAATTCAAAATGACAAAGAAAGGTTAAGGCAACACAAATATACTTGTCTAAAGATTACAGCTTGTCAGTATTAGAAAATATACAGGCTGAATGATCACGACCACAAAGTATGACTCAGCAAGAATCTAATCAAGAATTTCAAAGCACTTCACAGAATATACTGTAAAGTGCAGTGGCTATGTATTGTAGGTAAGTGTGGCAGACAAGTTGCACAGAGGAATGTTCCACAAATAGCCATGAAATGAATGACCAATTTTACCTGGAGGATTGTTGGACAGGAAACTGGGAGAAACTCCCTTCATTTTTTAAATAGTGCTGAAGGATGTGAACAGCAGAGGTGACCTTGTTTTAAAGTCTCATTCGAAGAACAATACCTCTATCAATTCAGTGTACTTCCCCCAGTATTGCCCTTGAGTGCTTCAGCCTAAACTGCTCATTCAAAATTTTACTTTTAGCTGGGACGTTAGGACGTTTACCAGGACGTTAGTCAAAGTTCCCCTTTCCCCAACTGCATCATCACGAAAAGCTGTCCTATGTGATAAGAGGGGAGCTCCAACATTGTGTCAAGATAAGAAAACTGAAGGGTTTTTTTAAAAAAAAAGTTTTTTTTAAAAAAAAGTTGCTGTTATGGAGCCAATTTCAATTTACAAAATGTGTCCGCAAATAGACGTTTAATAACTAACTTCAGGTGAAAATTTAGAAAAATTAAACAGAAAATATTTTTGAGGTATTTTTGCCCTTTGGAAAACAAACGTAGCAGTTTTGTTTTTAAACTTTCAACATTTTTAAAAAATATTAATAGTTTTTTTTAAAAGGGTATTGCAAAGCTATATATAACAATGAAAGAAAGATACAACTACATCACAAATACACAACTTATTTTTTTTAAATTCTCTACCCTCTCTCCAAAACAAGCCGTTTCTCCAGCCCCTCATGTTCTCCCCTCTACTCCTGAAGACACCAACTGGTGCTGAGATATGGTTTCACAGGCATCCAGAAGATTCCAGTGCCTGTCCCAAGTTGCCATGAATGCCATTCATGCATTTCGCTCACACAGTCATTCCACTTCACAGTATATCCTGTGAAGCGCTTGAGATGTCTCGACGACATGAAAGGTGCAATATCAAACGCAAGGATTGTTATTATTATTAGACCACTTAGTGACTGGCAGGCTGTGCAATCGTTGGAGAGGGATGGGGGAAAATCACAGTCAAGCCTGTTCCTATCATGAGCTGATGTTCCCCACGTGCACTTTGCAGCTCAGTTATAGGTTAACAAACTTGAGCAGGGATGAATATTCCCCCTTCATTTTACTGGGGAGAGGTAAGATTGAGGTCATTTGTGGCAACACTACCACTTGCTCCCAGATTAGATAACCTGATCTAACCAAGGACCTTCTTCTGTGTACCTGTTTCACACTGAGCAGAGGAATTTCCTACCGAGTTAAAGGGAGTCCTTTTTAAAAACATACATTTGTGCTAGTATTGGGAAAAAATAAACCTTGTACTTGTACTTCACACTCCTCGATCTTGTAATTGCTTGCATGTAGTCTACTTGGCAAACTCTTGCAACAATTCCAGCAAGCGCATGATAGTTATTAATCGCATTCATGCTGCATACATTTGGTTTAGTTTAGGAGAACCATTTATTATTCTTTGGACTAGGAATTCCACATTTACCTTGAGGAAAGTGGCACAATAATAAAATCTTACTCAGCAACAAAGGAGACATTTTTATGCTCCCTGCTGAAATTAACACTAAAAATAAACTGGAAGATTTATGGCTCAGCTACCCAAGGTCTAAATGAAAGGCTGAAATACAGAACAGTCAAGTGAACTACTGGTAATTTGTCAGGTGTTTTGATAAATAGAGGCTTAAATATTACGCTGATATTTAGTAAAAGTATTTTCTCAAATGCATTTCCAATATAGAGTAGTTAATCAGACATTTTTATACTAATGACAGAACTAGCATAACCTCTAGCCTAAACTAAAACCTTTATATGCTAATTAGTTTCTTTCACCTGAGCCCTTCAAAGGACAAAAAATTGGAAGACATAAAAAAAAGGTTATTTTCCTCTCTTCAAATTGTTGTAAAATCACATACACTGTGGTTCAACATCATTTCTATGCTGCACAGAGAAAAACAACTGTGCACTTGGTTTTCCAGCAAAAGTTTTCCTTCGCAAGTACAGATACTGTGTAATAAATTGAAGGGTAAGCTGCTTGCTTTAAAGTTAGTTGTATAAATGATTAAAACATATTAAACTAAAACACATTTTCCTAAAGTTTTATCAGTTTTATCCTCATCTCCACAGTAAAACTTTAAAAAACTGCAGCACAGGCATTTGCCTTTGAAATGGTAGTTTGACTCTGCTTATGACCTTCAATTCACCTTATGTAGAATAAATCCAATTTTACATATTGGGTTCATCAGAAATCACAAATGCCATTTCAGAAACGTAATTTTTCAAACAAATTTGGTGACAACAACATGAGGTCATTGCTGAGATGGGCGGTCAGGCCGTCACTCTGGTATTTTGAGAAACAACTTCATTTCAGCATCTGAAATATTCTCCAAAGTAAATCCCTGTCAACGTGTGCTGGTCCTCAATTTAGCTGCATGGGATTATTGTTCTCTGAGACACCAGTGAGCAACACTCCTGTTCCACATTCCAGGGACCTGTTACTGTTCAATTGCCATGTTCTCTGACAATCAGTGGCTTGAAAATAAAAGGACAGAAATGACTTGGTTTTATCCAAAGATGATGGAACTCAAGTCTCGGCAAGACTGGATTTATTTAGCCAAGGATCAAGTTACCAATCAATTTTCTTAGGGGGGGGGGGGGGGGGGGAGAAGAGGAGAAAGTGAATGAACTGAATCATTACCAGTAAATAGACTATCAATTGGTATTTGTTTGCAAATGAACAAGCAATTGTTTTCTTTCCAGCCAATGAAATTGATCGACATGAGGATAATTGTATTATATATATATATATATATATGTGTGTGTGTGTGTGTGAATACACACTGGAGAGTTTCTAACATTTTGCATTCCAGGCACATCGACTCCCAACTTGTATGTGACAAACAGGACAGGTCACAAACATCACACCCATTAACCTACCAAACCATGTTGTCCTGAATTTGCAGCAAATGATGTGCAAAGAATTCCAAAGGAAACGCCAGAAGCATTTTGACAACGTTTATTTAACAGTCAAAAAGGAAAATAGCAACTTATAATGATCTGTCAAATAAACCCTCCTGACACTCTCACCACAAACCTGTCAAGGAAACGTGCACTGGTGAAACTCTTATTTATTGCAGCAGAAAGTCTGAGCTAAAAATATCCCACTCCCCCCACCTCCAAAAAAAAAATAACCCCCAAAACACAACCCACAACAAAAACTGCCTTTCTCAACAAGTCCTGGAACTGGAAGTCCAATTTTCCGGCAAAAACAGAGGAGGAAATCAAATAAAACTCGTCCTCTCTCTTATTTATCTGTCTGTGTGTTTGTCTGTGTGACTGACAGCACAGACACACACACACACACAGACACACACACAGACACACACACACACAAACAGACACACACAGACACACACAGAGACACACACACACACAGACACACACAGAGACACACACAAACACACGGGTATTCGATGGGAATAGTCTTAACGCAGATAAGATAATGCGTAAAGGTAAAAGAAAGGAGCTGAACGCAACTGACACACTCACCTCCAGAGTCCTACGACGAGTGAGTGAGACTCGCTGTCCCTGGGCTGAAATGCAGGGCAGCCAACCCCAGCCAACCCCAGCCAACCCCAGGCAACCCCAGCCCAGCCAACCCCAGGCAACCCCAGCCCAACCCACCCCCAGCCCAGCCCAGCCCACCCCAGCCCCAACCCCAGCCAACCCCCCCCCAGCCCAGCCCCAGCCCACCCCAGCCCCAACCCCAGCCCACCCAGTCACCCTCTGAGAATTTCAAGCAGCCTCAGTCACCTCCCAATGTCAGCAGCTACTCCACTGGCCGCGGCGAGCTCTGCCCGGCACCAGGCGAGTGCGCCCTCCTCTGCTGCAGATGCGCACCGTGGGACACACACACACACACACACATATATATATATATACATACACACACACGCGCGCTCAGCTGTGAGCTCAGCCACTTAATCAGTAATGCAGTTTGCATTCGGTTAAACAGCACGGATGCCAAGCCATGGCAATGCCCAAATCTGATGGTGGTGGAGAGCAGCACTGCAGAATGCTCAATTGCCTCCTCGGTGGGTTTTGGAAGCCCAGACCTTATCAGAGGGGAATAATAATAATAATAATCCTTGCATTTGATATAGGGTCCTATTACGGTTAAGAGATGTCTCAAAGCGTTTCGCAGAATATAATATACTGTAAAGTGAATTGACTATGTTTTGTGGGCGAAACGTGGCAGCCAATTGCACACACAGTGTCCCACAAACAGTCGTGGATTGAGTGACCACATTGTTATTATTATTTTGAGGATAGAGGATCAGGAACGCCTCCCATTCCTCTCTCGAAACTGAGCAAAGGCCAAAACGTTAATGGGTAGGTCTGCCCTTGCTGGACAAGCCTATCTTTGCCTCATAGTAGTAAGCTGCAGAGTTTTATCTGATTAAATTCTAATACTAAGGCAAATGATAAGGTAGAAAGCAGATGAATAAGAATTGTTAAACTTCCCGACATCCGTCAAATATGACAAAGGGTGTGGTTAGTGGAATAAGTTCTAAAATATATGTAGTTTGTGAAGAGCAGAAAATACTCACTCCATTTACAAATGCAAATCACTATTCTGTGAACCGCAATGATTCAATAACTCGATGAGGCACTATATCAATTGCAAGAAATAATTTATTATTCTATCATGCATTATCTAAATGTTTCAGAAAGGATAATGAATAGGATGGAAACTTAAATAAATCTAATTCCCAGGAATGAACTTAAAGAATACCTTGTTAACAGTGAGTTAGTTGTGTAAGCCAGAGAGGCAAATACTTAGTTTAAAAGCATTCAGAAGGGAAATGAATGACAACCTGGTTCAGAAAAGATTTGAGAGAAGAAAAACATGGTTTTAAATCAGGTTCTGAATAATGCACCAAATGGGATGGGGCTGAATGATATTTTCTTGTTCCTATAATTTTATTGTACTTCAACACAGTAATGATTTCTCACCAGCTCTATATGTTGTGATTCGATCAATAATAATTAATCTGAGAGAGCCACCCAGTCTCTGAGCCCATGTTTCCAGAAACCAGCAGTCAGAATATATTGTAAAGCGAATTGACTGTATATTTTGTGGCCGAAACGCGGCAGCCAATTGCGCACAGCAGTTTCCCACAAACAGTTGTGGATTGAGTGACCAATTTATCATAATATAATGAGAGCTTCTTGTTACCAGTGGCTAGGTTCTTGGTATTAAAACTTAAGGAGCTACTCATTTCTTTGAATATGCCCTAAAATCATTATATATTGCATTAACTTTCATCTTGCAGTTCCAGAATCCATTTTGGTTGTGCAACTGGGAAGTAAAATATCAAATAAAGAACTTGCATTTCTATGCTCTTTAATCGTGTCAAAACAACTCAAAGCACTTCACGAGTAGTCACCTCAAATTATTTTCAAATAGCTCAAAGTATAAAGAACATCATTGACAGTACCTCTCAACTAAGGAATTGTGGCAGCACACGGAGGCCTTTAAAAAATATCCCCATATAAAAAAAATATATTTTTTAATGAATTTTTGTGTAAAGAAATTTTTTTTCCAATCAAGTGAAATATCATTTTGTCATTACTGATTTCCAAGAGTTGATTTTATTTAATATTATAATTGTCATTATTATAAATAATATTGTGTGGTAACACATGAATCAAACTCTGCCTTATTAATCTACTGAGCATGATCCAGCTCAGAATTATGCATACTCTAACATCACCGAGGGGATGAACTTTTATACCTTTGTGCAAACAGTCTTCTTTATTTAGTCTAATGCATCAGACAGGTTAATTATCTCAAAGTAATTTGACCTCAATTGACATATAGTCAGTCAGTAAGAAGAAAAAAAATGATAACTCAATAAGTCGTTGGATGAAAGAATCAACCAAACTAGAATTCAGGGTAACACTACCCTGAGGAATACTGAAGTAAATGCAAGAACATTGTTATGTACATTGTCAACAAGGATAAAGGTTACATGTAGCAATACTTTTGGGATATTATCTCTGATTAAAATGCAATTTACTGGCATAAGTTAATTGTTACCTCAAAGCCTTTCCGGATGGCAGTGCTGTAATGCACTAATTTTTAAAAAACTCACACATTTAAAATCTACTTTAAATTCATTTCAGGCTTAAATTACTGCCCATCAGGTCAGATTTGAGGAGTGGTAGGGGAGCGAATGAAAGCAATGTTGAGAAATATATTAAATTTAAAAAATCAATCCACAATCAGCAATGAATTTTAAATTACTCTGAAAACTGAGAAGCTAGTCTACCTTTGCTGTGACAAAAAAAAACATTTGATCATCAGCCAGTGTTTTTGGTCAAGATTATTATCCAGTGAATGAACCATGGGGGCATTAGAAAGGACAGAATTCTGCAAATGCTGGCTTTTCGATTTGCAAATGTCCACTTGAGCAAGGTACCATGATCTGTAGAAATGCCTCGCAGCTGAAGCCACCACTTTCAGGGAAGGAACTGCTGAGAAAACTGGAGGAAGAGGAACGAACACCTTTGATCAGAACCACAGGAAATACATGTTTCAAGCTAGAAAATAAGCTGGCAGGTTAAAGACACAACTAGAGCAAGTTTAATTTTGAGACGGAAATGGGTAAAAGAAATGGAAATAAGAATAGAAGAGAAATAAATAGCTGGCACCACAAGGTAGTACGTTGGCATGCTGGTCGATGGAATAGTAGATTTGGGGTCAGCATCCACGTTTCTCTATACAATGCCTTCCTGAACTTGTCAAATCACAAAGCAGAATCCAAGTACTTTACAGTGAGAAAAATCAATAAGCAACTCACCTTGGACAATTTGTAAATGTGTTAGCGCTGCTTACTGTTCCAGGAACAGGTTGCTCATTTACTTGCTGTCAGTGGAGGAATAATATGCAACAAAGGGAACAGCGAACTGAAGATTAGAGGAGATTGCATAGGTAGGAATCACTGATTAAATTGGAACATCTTTGTTTAGCAACAAATTTCAAAGAAAGGCATTGTACATTCAAATCAAGACTCTTTTGATAATAATTTGCTCAATTAAGTCACGGTCAACTTGAACGATTCTTCAATTCCCTGTTCCCTTCATTGCACATTATTCCTGAACTGACAGGGAAAGTAAATGAGTATTCTATTCAAACTACATAAGAGATACACTTACACAGGAAATACTGTACAATTCTCCTTTTATTAATTCTATAGAAGGGCAAAGTACAGATGAAGCAGTTAGCATTGTTTCTCAATAATAAGATCTTTCTGTAGACAAGCATCTTTGAAAATACAATTCAAGTGAAAATAACAAAACAAATCCAGGTACTTGAAAGCCCAAGGTTTATCGTCAAGAATTCAATATCAAACTTTATTGATTCAGCAGAAGAGAATGCTCATCAAAAATAGAAAATTCAAATTTTAACACTAGCACAATTATTTTCAGTCTTGAGTTGCATAACCCATTGTTTAAAATGGAGAATATACAATGGTCTAATTCATTTCTGCATGTATATCTGAAACATAAATGGGTAGTTTATGCAAACCCATTTAATACAGTATGAAAAGTAACCTGTGTTGAGTTCCAGTTAAGTTTTATATCCTACACCTTTCCAAGATGTAATCATTTCCTTCATTTCAAAAGATTACTAATGTATCACTTACTGGTGCAAAATCTGATGCAAAACATAGGTAAAAGCAGCCTTACAGGAATGAAACCTTATAACAACTTGCATTTGTATTGCACCTTTCATGTCGGAGGACATCCCAAGGCGCTGGACAGTCAGGGATTTGGACCCGAGCTGGGGGTTGGAATCAGGAGGGGTGGAGCGCAGAGGGTAGGGGTAGAAGGGTGACCAAGGTACGGTCGAAGAAGAGTCTTGAGACCACCTTTGCATGGGTGGCAAGAAAGATTTAACTTATGGAACTCTTCGTTTGTGGTTGTTTGAAAGAAGTGAAATTAGTCTGTATTTAAAACTTGGGTGTTATTTTGAAGAAATGCAACACTAATTTAATATCCATTTCCCAAAGCAGTAATTCTACTGCATTTCCTGTCCGAAGCACATGATAGAGAAATCTTTCAGAAGAGTGAGACCATTTGCCGGGGATCGTCAGGCAGTACGCTGACAGAGTCTTCAGCTTTTCCACACAACATACACAGCATGGTGTACTCCTAGAATAAATAAAGAGAGAAAAAGATTTCAACCAAAATCAGAAGTACTGTACTACCACAATAAGGTCAGCTCGACATTATTTTTCAGTCACTGCGCAGTTGAATTTTTAAATGAAATTGTATTTGTCAGTAGAGCAAACAAAGGTTAAAATTGGAAATAATAACTACACCCTGCTTTTGTGAGAGGTGGAATGCATTTAACTTGGCAGCAACAGCAACAAATTACATTTGCATTGCACCTTTCACGTTAGGACGACGTACCAAGGCTGGGCAGTCAGGGATCCGCAGCCGAGCTGGTGGTTGGGATCAGGAGGGGTGCCGGGTGGGGAAGGCAGGGGGTTGTAATTTGGATTGGCAATCCAGGACAATGAATAGGAATGGTTACAAAGAAAAGTAATGGTTCTCAAAGCACTGCACAGCATTTACCTGGTAATCATCGACAACACTGAAAGTGTATTCATGCCGTGCTATGATATGGTGGCAGTTCTGACACGCATCTGAAAGAAATCATGGAACATAGAGGAACTGAGTATGGCGAGATTAGAATGTAGTGAACTATATCGGCAATTAAATTTGATAAGTCAGTAATTATATCGGGCTCAGAGAGCTATTAAAACCACAAGAGTGAATCTCAAGTTATTAAATGTCAGTTGAGCCGCAAGATAAAACTTCCACTTCTAAAATATTCCCACTATTTATATTGTAACAAAGTTCATGAGTAGCTTCATTCCAAGTAGAATTATAGAATATTTACATAATAGACAAGGTCATCTAGCCAATATGGTCTGCTATGGATCTATCTCCCCTCCACTGGAACCATCTATTAACTTGCATTTTCTCCAGATCCATTATTTTTCCTCTAGTTATCCAAATAGGATAAGTACTTGAGGAAAAATTATTGCAAATAACTTTTATGGACAACAAGGTGCACACTCATCGGTTAACAGTTGTGGAATGATCACAGCAAGTTTACAAATACTAATTCCTGGGAAATAAACTTGACACCTACTGCTAATTGCAACATTTTGGAATACCACATGCGGATGTTTAGACAGCAATTGTTCTTCTTCAGTAATTCCATTTACATTTTGGTCTAAGCTTCCCAAGCACATATCAAGGCTTAATCTCCAAACACCAGCCTTTTCTCTTGTTGACAAATTGAAATAAAATTAAAAATACAGATTTTTTAAAAAGAATAATTTCTCTCCCTCCCAAAGAGACTTCAAAAGAGGAGCCATGGTTTCGGAAGTGGTTTGTTGTCATAATGCCGGTGTCACGCAAGTCAAGCTGTTGACGTTCATTTCAGTCAACACCATCAATGTCAAAGAAAAAGCTTCTGCTGCCTCTAATGTTTGAAAACATTCTCATTGTTTTGCTTCTTCGTGCCTTTGACACATGCTTTCAAAATATTTTTTCATTGTGGATTAGTCCGACTGACCAGCCCAATATTTATACTGTGAAACAGCAACTGAGTTACAGTATGTGCTCATTCAGTTCCAGTTTGCCACCATGAAGTGATCCTTAGAATATCAATTTATTGGTTAAATATCCGATCTTCAGCAGGAAAATGTAAGGACTCTTGGAGCTTCAGGCTCACTGGTTTAAAGCTTAATTCAAATGTAAGAAGCTGTCAACTTCAGAAATTAAATGTATGCAACACTGACTTGTTCACAAGTCAAATGTTTCATCCAGACTCGACTTACGGTCATATGTAACAATTTCCTCTCCATCTTCGTCATCCTGGTTTCGATTAGTAATGAGCACAAAATCTCTTTTACTGCATTCAGCACAACACACATAATTCAGTAGAAACGAGCCATTCTCCAAGCAGGTCTTTCCCTGTATAAGAAGTTGGGAGAGAGGGGAAGAGTTTTTAAAAAAAAAAATCACATTTGAACTTTTGTATAATTTTTACCATATGTCACTATTTATTTTAAGACAAACCACAAAGGTCATGCTTAATGCCTCCAAACTGAAGTACAAATTAATTCCAGTTGGTGCTCACTCTGAGCAATGTTTTTAATCTCACTCCCACCACCAGCAGGAATTTAGTGAAACTGCAATTCTTAACTGAAAGTTTTCAAACCATAATACAATCTCCCAACATTGTGATTCAAGGAAGATTAAAGTTCATAAGGGGAACACAAATGTCTGACAAAAGATTAAAATATCAAAGGTTATTCAAATTCACCAATTCGTGAGTGGTACGATTGAATACAGAAACATAGATCATAGGCTTTTTAACACAAGTCTTCCTACGTAATGCAGGAAGCAGACAGGATATGGAGAGCTGCAAAATGAGTCATACTATCAAAGCTAAAAAGCCATCCAATGGTATATATTGCAACACAAGATTTAAATTATGCAACTGATAGAATTTTTATGGAATGAATTGTGTGATTATCAAGATGAATGATTTCAGTGCAGGGAAATGGAACACTAAATTCCGCTTCTGTCATCTAGTGTAAGCATCAAGCACACCAAGGTCAATTATAGTACAGAACAACAAGTTACAAAACAAACCTTTTATTCTGCTGTAAAGTTTCTTAACCTAAACCTTCCAAGAAAATCTCTGTAAATTCCTGTGTATTTTCCCCAATTTCCACACCAACTATACTGTCAATTTGTGCTTTTAGTACAGACTTAAATTATGGACAGTTTTGTCTATGCCTGCTGCATGTTGGAACTGATCAAGATATATTTCAAAGACATATCTTTAAATCGGCAAGGGGGGAAGATTTTCATCTGGCTGAAAGGCTTCAAAATTAGCTAAAGGGAAAGAAGCAGAGGGTAGTCATTCGGGGAGGAATGTTAAAATGTGGAAGATATCAAATGGGGAGTCTTAGGGATTTGTGTCTCTTCTTTTCCTTATGCATTAATGACCTAGATTTGCAGACTCATTTTCAGATATCACCAAGTTGAGGGAATCTGGAAACTAAAAGAGGCAATAAAGGTCTTACCAAGAGAACTTGATAAGGTATTCTTGATTGGGCTCTCACATGGTCTGTGCAAATTAAGTGTAAAATGTAAATTGTTGTAGGTATTGTTAGATGTGTTGATATGTCCACTCCTAACATAACAATGACCCAAATGTTTTACTAACATAGCACAATTACAAGTAGCCGGGAAAGTAAATCAGTCCATTAGCAAATTCCCTCTGAACAATTTTCCTCAACAGCACTTTAATGACAACAGTGTGACCTCATTCTATACAGTGTGTGTTCATATATTATTTCTCTCTATATATCGTTCCTTCAGCCATTATACTGATGTGTTGTCTTCCTGCTAAATATCCCATGGCAATAACAACAAATGACATTTGTATAGTGACTTTCACGTCAAGTGGATGTCCCAAAGCACTGGACAGTCAAGGATGTGCACCCGAGCTGGGGTCGTGATCACAAGGTCAGGAGGACAAGGAGGGCAGGGGCAGGAGGATGACCGAAGGCACATTTGAAGAGGAGGGTCTTGATAAGGGCCTTCGCTGAAACTCTTGTTCATGCCTTCATCACCTCCAGGCTCGACTATACAAACGCCCTGCTTCTCGGCCTTCCCAACTCCTCCCTCCACAGGCTGCAGATAATCCAGAACTCTGCAGCCCATGTCCTCTCCCATCCCAAACTCCCTGACCCTATCTCCCCCATTCTCGCCCGACTCCATTGGCTCCCTATCCTTCAGAGGATCCAGTTCAAAATCCTGGTCCTCACCTACACAAAGTCCTCAATGGCCTCACCCCACCCTATCTCTTTGACCTCCTACCCCCTACCAACCCGCCCTCTCCCTCCGCTCAGCCGGCTCTGGCCTGCTCCATGACCCCCAACCCACCCGCCCCACCATTGGCAGGAGAGCCTTCAGCCACTCTGCCCCCAACCTCTGGAACTCCATCCCCCAATCACTCCGCCTCACCCCCTCCTTAGTTTCCTTCAAGTCCCGCCTCAAAACCCTCCTCTTCGACCATGCCATTGGTCACGCCCGTTCCCCTCCCTTCTCCCCCCTGACCCCAGCTCGGGTCTGAAATGCTGTACTGTCCAGCGCCTTGGGACGTCCTCCCGACGTGAAAGGCGCTACACAAATGTAATCTTGTTGTTGGAAGGAGGCAAGTTAGGGGCCAGGGCAAAGTGAAGGGAGTGGAGTTCCAGAGGGTGGTGGCAGAATGGCTGAAGGCCGTATTATAAATCAATAATAATCTTCGCATTTGACATAGCGCCTTATCACCTCTAAAAAGACGTCTGTCTCAAAGCACTTTATAGAAAATAACTGTAAAGTGAATTGACTGTATGTTTTGTGGGCGAAATAATAATAATAATAATCCTTGCATTTGATAGAGCGTTTTTGGACGTCTTGGAAACCAGACAGACAGACAGACAGACACAGACACAGACACACAGACAGACACACAGACAGACACACACACAGACACACACACACACACACACACACACAGACAGACAGACACACAGACAGACACTCTTCACACATAGATTGATTGGTGTTTGGACACAAACAATATGTGCGGAAACATCTCTTCATCACTGACACCCAGTGAGAGAGCCCCACCTCCTCCTCCTCCTTACCCGGTTGGGATATTCCTTCTGCACACAGCCCGAGCACATGGCGGCTGTGCGCGTGTGTGTGTGTCGGTGGCCCTCGCCCTCCCCGACCCTCTCGCAAAGTTTACTCTCGACGTTCCCCCCGAACAAGAAGCGGAAGCTGAGCGGCAACACTTCCGCCGCCACTTCTCGCGAGATGACAGGGCCGGTGGGGGGGGGAGGGCGGGGCTGGGGAGTTGGTGGGCGGGGTCTGCCCCCCCCCCCCGCCCCTCCTGTCAATCAAACCCTGTCCCCGCCCCCCAGGCTTCTCACTCTCTGCTGCAGCTTCAGCCACAGCCTCGCGCAGGAAGCTCAGCGCTGCCCTGCGGTGTGCAACGTGCACACTCGCCACTGGCAATTGGGTGGGTGACTGCTCAAGACTCCATTTCACTCTGCAGCCCACAAAGAGTGACCGGCTGACCGGCCGGCTGACCGGCCGGCTCCCGCGGACGGTGGATTCGTCCCTTTCAGCTCCCGCTCAAGCCAAAGCCCCACGTGTTGGGTGGTCCTGGCCAGGCGAGCGGCAGGAGGCTTGCCACGCAGCGCTTCCCGTGCCAAGCTGTGTGGTTTTTAGGGGGCTAGACGGCAGCGGTAGCCACCCCCCACCCACAAACATACACCTTGGGCATCGCACCCGCCAAGCCTTAGCTCTTGCAAAACTGCCTAATTCTCTCCAGAAATAGGTAGTGATAATAATAATGATCTTTGCATTTGATGCAGCACCTTATCACGTCATCGAGACAGCTCAAAGCGCTTTGCAGGATGTAAGGTGTACTGACTGTTTTGTAGGCGAAACGTGGCAGCCAATTGTGCACAGCAGTGTCCCACAAACTGTCGTGGATTGAGTGACCACACTATTATTATTTTGAAGGGATTATTAACCCAGGAAAGCGATCTGCCAATCGACTAACAAGCGGGTTCCTACATACAACAACAACTACATACTGCTAGGTAAACAGAAGTGTATGTGTGTGCGGAGTAAGGAAACTTGCCTAAGGTAAGGAGGGAGTGGTAACTTAAGCATGATGATGGTTTTCCACTTGTACGAGCTGCACCTTTCCCCCTCCCCTACCTCAATGCTCAACTCCGACTGTTCACTTTCATTATTTGTCCATTGGAATACACACTTCTCCTTTCGTGGCATAAAATCAATGCTGCCAGATTAAAGGCATAGTGTGATACACAAATTGGCTGTTGTGTTTTTTCAATTATAACTACTACACTTCCTGTGAAGCACTTTATACCTCCCAAAGGTGTGATGAGGTGCTATGTCAAATGCAAGAATTATATTTTTTATTGAGTAAAAAGATCGATTTTGCAGAGAAATTTAAAATCCAATAGCTACAATTGGTAAACAATAAGATGATAGCACTAAACTGGCAACATTGCAGAAGGAAACAAAAAGGACACATTTTTGTTCAAAAGAGGTTATTTTACTGTTAAGAGTTACACTTCGGAAAAGTTACAAACAGAAATATCAAGAAAATTCAGTAACTTTCAATTGTTTTTTCAGGCACCCCTCCCATTAGGTTTAAGAGGAGACCTTCATTCTGTAAAGTTCTGAAGTCTGGAAGATCTGTTAACAACTTCCAAAGAAATGCACAGTTGTTTTAAAAAAAGGTTTTACAATGCTCAAACACGCTCATAACATGCCGTCTCTATTGAAATAGTTGGTTTACTTTCTGGTCGTAATACATTTGATCTACATTAAGAAAACAGTTGTTTTTGTTCTTACACATTCTCAATCCCCCTCTTCACTGCTGAACCTTGAAGAGTTTGAAGGTGATGTTTACAAGATTTACCAAGTTTTTTTTAAATCTGAGATTATACATTCATTGAATTGTAGCAAATCTTTTGTTTTGAAAATATATACCGCCCTTCAAAAATCAGCCTCAAATTAGATCACATTAACCTGGAGAATAAAAATTGACAATCACAAATACGGATGGAGTTAAATACCTTACGAAAGATATTCATCACAATCAATATTTGTAACTAAGGCTGAGGAGAAAATACTCCTTTTTAAAATAAAAGATGTGGGGAAAATATTAGTGTTTGTTTTAGAATTGTACATATTCAATTCGATCAGAAGTGTTAGTGCAGCTTTTAATGGAGGGAGGGAAGAGTAAACCGACTTCAACCTCAAACTATTTGGCAACTTTCAAAAGCCTCTGGATGTCAGGTTCAATCTGGATGGTTTCAAACTTTTTGCTGTAACGTTTGAACGGTTCTCCATCTGGTCCGATGAGGAATTTCTCGAAGTTCCAGGAGATGTCTGATCGGCAAACTGGGCTCCAGTTGATGGACTGAGGATCCTTCATGAAAGATACGGGATCATCATCAGGATAAGGCAATTTCTCCTTCAGATAGGCAAAAAGAGGATGCGTGCCATCGCCGTTGACGATAGATTTCTGGAACATGGTAAAATTGGGCTCATAACCACCCCCAGGACGCACATACTTCAACGTTTTCAGAATTTCATCGTTTTTGCAGTTTTCCTAAAATTTACAAAGCAAAACAAAAATCAGAAAAAAAATAAATCAGGAAAAATACATCCCGAGATCAAATTGGAAATGCATGTGTATTTATTCCAATATATAAAAAATCAAAGCACCCAATCTTCAAAAGAAAGTATTGTTATGGTCCATTTGAACAAAATGCAAATTAACAACAACAAGAAGATTGCATTTATAGAGCGCCTTTCACGTCGGGAGGACGTCCCAAGGCACTGGACAGTTGGGTCGGGACCCGAGCAGGGGGGAAATGGTCAGGGGAGGGAAGGGAGGGAGCGAGGAGGGGGTAGAGAGTCGAAGGGGAAATTAAATGCTGTATCTCGATATTGGCACCACATTGAAAATAATCCACACACTTCCTTGTAAATCCTGAATAGGTTTATAAATTGCTTCTCTCCAGGCCCCCATCCCCAAAAATACTGCAAAACATTATTCTGTTAAACGGCCTTTCACATTTTGTGCCACAGATGAAACCGTATGGAAACCTTCTTTGGAGAGATATATGCGTAAAGAGAATGGTAACAAATTAGGGAAAACCAGAATTTAGATCAGAATAAAATTAGGAAATGCAGAGCATTTGCAAAAGTAGAAAAGGTCACTATTTGCGTGGGTACTTCATTGGAAATGGTTTAAGCGCAGTTTCTCTATCTCGAACACCTTCGTATCGGAAGCCGTACACAGTCATATCAACCGATCGCGCTTTCAGATAGTGAAGCCACCTATCTGGTGCGTGTGCAGTGTATTCATATAAAATAAGTGTCCAAAGAAAGCAGGGTATAAATGGAAATAACAACATAAGCAAAGCGTGTTTTTAATAGTCGCATCTTTTTAAAGACTACATTCCGATAAATAATTTGCAAGTGTAAATTAATCGTTGTATTATTGCTGCAAACAATAGTTTCGCCCTGGAGAAGACAAACTGGTTTCAGGTCAAATGCATCGAATTTCCATTTCGTCTTTCAGTGACAGACAGACAAGACAGACAGACACAAGTTCTTTTTTTTAAAAAAAAAGTTTTCCAAGTTATTCTCTCTCCCTCTTCTGCCTTTGGACCCCAACACAATAAAATTAAAAAAAATACGTGCCATGTGTACCCACAAGTTTTGAAGAGCAAAGATCTCTCTTAAATAAAAAAATATAGAACTACAATACAAACACTGTTCCCATCGAAACATCCCACGTTTTAATTAGCGATCAATTTGCACAATGGTTGGAGATGGTCCAACTTACTACGCTCTCGCTTCCAACTCTTTTTTTTCCTCCTCTCCCAAGAACTGGCTTCAAACTTTTTTCCCCCACAATGAACGTTTGCAACTTTAAAGCTCCACCGGAAAAAAAAGCAAACTGATGACTTCTCCCTGGAAATGTTCACAGGAGTTTCTGTGTGTGTGTGTGTGTGAGAGTGTGTATGAGAGTGAGTGTGTGTGTGAGTGTGAGAGTGAGTGTGTATGAGAGTGAGTGTGTGTGTGAGTGTGTTAGTGTGTGAATGAGAGTGAGTGTGTGAGTGAGTGTGTGTGAGTGTGAGAGTGTGTGTGTGAGAGTGTGTGTGTGAGTGTGTGTGTGAGTGTGTGTGTGAGTGTGTGTGTGTGTGAGTGTGTGTGAGTGTGTGTGAGAGTGAGTGTGTGTGAGTGTCTGTGAGTATCAGAGTGAGTGTGTGTGTGAGAGTGAGTGTGTGAGAGAGTGAGTGTGTGTGTGAGTGTGTGTGAGTGTGTTTAAATGTCCGCGTAAAACACAAACAGCAAACAAGGATCGCACGATCAACAGAGCAGTGGTTTGGAACTGCGCAAAGCCACGAGGGCCGTGTTTTGCGCTGTTAGTTTGGACTGAGCTGAAGCTGTACTGTTCTGTACTGAGCTGAAGCTGTTCTGAGCTGAGGCTGTTCTGTGCTGAAGCTGAGCTGAAGCTGTGCTGTTCCGTGCTGAGCTGAAGCTGTTCTGTGCTGAGCTGAGGCTGAAGCTGTTCTGAGCTGAAGCTGTTCTGAAGCTGCTCTGAGCTGAGCTGAAGCTGTGCTGTTCTGTGCTGTTCTGAGGCTGAGCTGAAGCTGTTCTGAGGCTGAGCTGTTCTGTGCTGAGCTGTTCTGAGGCTGAGCTGAAGCTGCTCTGAGCTGTTCTGTGCTGAGCTGAAGCTGTTGTGCCTCTCACCTGGTGCCCGAACTGGTTGCAGGGGAAGCCCAGCACAACGAACCGATGCGGGTAGCGACCCTGCAGTTGGTTGAGTTGGGTGAAATCCCGGGTGGTCGTGCCTCAGAGGGAGGCCACGTTCTCCACCAGGACCACTCTGCCTCGGTACACGTTGAAATCCACCGGGTCCCCGGCCAGGGTGACGGCGCTGAGGTCGTAGAAGGACTTGACGCTGCGAGCCATGGCCGAGCAGAGAGAGCGAGTGCGGATACTGATCATGGCTCCAGGGAAGGTTTGGCTTTTCAGTCATCTGACCTGACTCTCCCTCCTCCCTCCCTCCCTCTCCTCCTCCTCCCCCTCCCTCCCTCCCCAGGTACAAAGGCACCTCTGTGTCCTTGGGGATGACTTTGCAGAATGTCAGCCCCTCCTGTCTCTACCCCTCCCCTCAAAAAAAATGGGAAAGCAAACCCTCAACCAAAAGCCTTTCCAAAAAAAAAAAAACCACTCCGGTTGGGTTGAGCGATCCTTCCCCACTCATGACCCAGTGACACAGACTCCCTCCTCTGCTCCATTCCTGTGGCATGAGCGGTTGCCAGGTTTCGCCTGTTTCAATGGAAACGATTCGGGTTCAAGTTCTTTCCTGAAAAGCGGGTCTTCGCGGGCAAGAGCCATCGAACTCGGATGCCCCAATTCAGGAATGAAGTCGGGCTGTTTTTTTAAAAAAAAACGGCCTCCGAAAGGAAAGCCGGGAAGTTGGAACCGATTATTTCTGGCGAAATCCCAGAATTGGTGCCTCATTTGGTATAAATAAAGTGAAGGAATTGATTCACCGTTTTAAAACAACAACAAATTACATTTGTATAGTGCCTTTTCACGTCAGGAGGACAACCCAAGGAGCTTGAAAACACTGATAGTTTTTTTAAAAAAATGCAAGTGTTTTTGTGCCTATTTACACCAAGGCGATATGAAGCCAAGAGGAACTTTGGGTTAATTTACACGCTGTCTCTTTCAAATCAATGGTTTTGTAGTTTTGTACCCCTTTGGGAAAAAAATGATTAAAAGATTTACTATGATCTAATAAACTTGTAAAATAGGCTCAAGGACTGAACTGTGGCCCTGTTCTGTGGTCTCTATGATCTTGTCACATATATAGAAAGTGTGTAAGGTCTGTTTCCCCTTCAGTGATATAGTTTTGCAAGTGTCCTCGCAAAGCTACATTTATTTTATTTAATCCACAAAACAGAAACAAAATATAGACTGAACTCGGTCTCCAGGAGCTGGCTCATAAATTAATTAAGCTTGGTAATTGAACTGAAGGAAGTTAATTTATACTTTCCCAACACATTTTATACAAATTAAAAGGGGGACTTCAATTGAGTAAATGATGGAAAGGGATTTAAAGAGAGGCTAAACAGTTTTTTTCTCATCTTTTGTGGGTAATGTAATGAACTGGGAGAAAATTAAGCTGGTTTTAAAACTCTAGCTATGCCACAGCTGGTGTAATAAAAGGCGCAGTGTTAGATAACACATTGTTTCTCAAATTCAAAAGAGCGGTTTGCAAAGATCCATTTCTGACCTGACTGCCCCTGATCAACTTTAGTCTCACCAACACAATGTAAGGAACACATTTCCCCCCCAATTGTGCTGTGCATGGCAAATTTTTTAAGAGACTAAACTGGAATGGATCCAGAGGATTTTTGTGCCAGGATAAAAAGCTTCTTTCTTTGGCTCCTCTGTTCCCCAAAAATAAACGTGATGAATAATCCATGAAACATCTGTGTCTGAGGCAGTGAGTACTTTTTCAAATTATTCAGATCAAATCTATATAATAAAAAACCTTAAAATTGATGTAGCTCCTTATCATGTGGTTGAGATGTCTCAAAGGGCTTCAAAGAATATATTGTAGAGTGGATTGACTGTGTATTTTGTGTGCGAAGTGTGACAGCCAATTGCGCACAGTGAACTGTTCCACGAACTGTCATGGAGTGACCAAATGTTTTTTGGAAGGGGGTATTATTATCCCTGGAAAGCAATCTGCCAATCCTAACAACCTACTTACTGCTCAGTAAACAGAGGAGTATGGAGTAAGGAAATTTGTCTAAGTTCTCGCCCTGCCTGAGAATCAAACTGAGGTCCTCTTGCTTGTGAGGTGAGGGTGCTAACCACTACGAAACGTGGGTACACGCAAATAAATATACTTTGTTTAAGAATGTCGGAGTTCCAGGAATTGGGTGGTCATTTGTAAATTGTCAAAGAAACCATTCTTCCTGTGGAAAGGGTAAACAGAGTAGGTGGGGTGAACTGTCAGCTGACTATTTGTACAGGATTAACATTTACAGTCCAATTTGAAACTAAAGAATCAGCCGTGATGTTATTGGTACCCCATAATGAAAGCAGCCACTCCCCAATGTTGGTTATCTAAAATGGGCACATTGTGGATTATTTACTCACATAAAGGGCAGTTCTTTCACTCCTTTCACCCAGGAAACTGTCTTCTGCTCATTGAGGGGCCCAGAGGATCTTTGACATTTAACAAGTTTTCGCTGACATTTTTTTTAAAAAATTGGGTTTGTTCAATACATGAATGTTTCACAAGCAAGCACTTATTATAAAAAACAGGAACCAAAAACATAAGAGAGGAAGTCATTGGTTATATTTTGGGCAAATACTTAGCTGCTTCATCCTGTGCATTCATTGGTACAGATCGAACAATAAATGTCTGAAATACCTATAATAATAATCTTTGCATTTGATATAGCATTTGCACAGCTTCTAGACGTCTCAAAGTGCTTCATAGAATATACTGTAAAGTGAATTAATTGACTGTATATTTGTGGGCGAAACACAGCAGCCAATTGGGCACAGCAGTGTCCAACAAACAATTGTGGATCGAGTGACCAAATTTTTATTGTTTTTTTTCTTGAGGGATTAGGAAAGTAAGGAAACTTGCCCAAGGTTTCGCCCTGCCAGGAATCAAACCCAGGTCTCTTGCTTGCAAAGTGAATGCTTTAACCACTGAGCTACAGGACTTCATACGTGTTAAATGCTTTTGCTGCTTTTGATACCATCGACCAATCTATCTTCCTCCACCGTCTCTCCTCTCACCTCAACCTTTCTGGTTCTGTCCTTGAATGATTCAGATCCTACCTCTCACATTGTCTGGGATTGGGACTGCAATTTTCTGTCGACCTAAACGGGATGTCAATACAAAGTTGAAGATGAAGTGGGTAGGACTGTATTATGTACTCCCCCTCCCGCATTGAAATGAAAACTCAGCACAGTATGTCCCGAATCTAATTCTATCTCCTTCCTAACAACTACTCAGTCTTCCCTTCTTTCTAGAATCTGCAGGCTTCGTGGCTTACACTGTTTTCACTCTTCTTTTGCACCTCGGTGGCTTCCTGCATTATCAGACTTCCTAGTCCCTGGATATTGTTTTTACATTAGAAAAATATTGATCCGTGAATGAGTTACATCAATGTTTTCAAAAAATGGGCATTGAAATAAAGAAAGCCGGTCTTTATTGAAGGAACACTTTAGAAGTTTGGTTGTTATGGAGAACATGCAAGGTACCGAGGAGACAAATAGGGTGGGACAACATTTAAAAAATGTATTTTCCAATATGAATTTAATAATTCTTGATTTCAGACAGACCAATCAAAAAGAAACCCTTGATGAAATTTATTTGTAAATATTTATGAATAAAATAATGTTTATCAATACCAAATAACACAATAATTTCAGGAAACATTGCCACCTTTCTCCCCACAATACAGTAGTTAAGGTTAATGGATTTACTCAGCACGCAGTTTTCATTTGACTCGTCCTTGCACAGACAAAGGAGTATTGAAAAGTTGTGGTCATATGCTTTGAACTACGGAAGGAAAAGATCTAAAAGCACAATATTCGAAACATCAGGTTCAAACAATCAACCGAATCTCAACAAATCACAAAATCACTTCAAACCTTATCACCAACATCAAAATGTTGCAGTTTGCTCCAGAGAGGAAAACCATTCACCTGCATATTGATTCGATCAACCAAAAGTAGAAATAAAGATACTTGCATTTGATATAACGTCTTTAATGTCAGGAGGATTTACTGTAAAGTGTAGTGACTGTTCAGCCAATTTATGCATAGAAATGTCCCAGCCATGAAGTGAATGACCAATTTTATCTGGGGGATTGTTGGCCAAGAGAAAATAGTGTCCTCGGATATTTAGCATCCATCTGAACAGGCAGACAGGCCCTTGATTTAACATCTCATCTGAAACCTGGCACCTCAGACAATGCAGCACTCGGGGCTTGAACCCACAAACTTCTGACTCAGGTGAGAGCGCAGCCAACTTAGACTGACAACTAGTTACATTTTTAAGGAATAACATGACTTCCTACTGTAACGAATCACTTGGTTTTAAACTACTAACATATTTCATTGATCAAACCTTTGAGTACTGAATAGGTTTTGCAGCTTTCAAACTGTGCAAACATTTGGAAAAGTAATCATTTTCTGCAAACCTGTAATGCCGATAGATACATTTACAAAACGTATGTAACAACTACACTCTTAACACACAGCACACTCTGAACTGAAAATTTGAAATTCTCTCTCTGTACTCAAAGAGTTAAAATCATTAAAAAAATTGGAAAAAATTGTATTATGAAACATGCATTTGATTGGAATATAGGGATGACACAACTGTCCTTTGGAAATTTTCCACTTATGTTCCTGGCATAAGGCTGGAAATCCAAGCAAAGGCTAATGGTGATCAGTCAAAATGCAACAGAAGAACACAGGAAGCATATTTACTCTTGGACAACAAATTTCCAGTGACTTTAAGGTTTTATGCTGCAGAGTGTTGTCATTTGTGGAGAACATAAAATGTATGAGCATGAATAAAACGTTGTTAACCTTTAAAAACTGTGAAGCACCTTGACACATCAAGAACAAGCAACAAAATCTCAAGTGAAAATTACATTCATATTATTAGTCTAATAGGACGGTGGTAACAATAATAATAATACAACTGACTTTGCATTTGGTATAACACCTATAAGATTGAAACAACTCAAAAGTGCTTCATTGGTGATTTCTTTCTGTCAAGTGTGGTGACTGTGTAGTTTTAGGCAAATGGATTATCCAATTATGCACAGCAAGGACCCGCAAACAGCCAGGAGATCAATGATCAATTTATCTGGAGAAACTCCCTTCTCATTCTGAACGGTGTAAGAGTGATCAAAATGCACAGAACAGATATGCGGGAACCTCAATTTAACGTTGCGTCTAAAGGACAGCACCTCTAACAATGCAGCAGGGCTCCTCCAGTACTGTATTAGTGTCAGCTAAAATTTCTGACACAGGGCTTGAACTCATAATCTTCCTGCACTGGAGACAAGAGTACCAACTGAGCCAAGCTAAACTGTAAAAGTAGCAAAGCAAAGTCAGATTGTTGTAGCTTAAAAAGGTGATAACTTTTTACAAGGCTCTTTGAAAATCAAAAGGATGCCATCTGAACAGATATAATCACTTTCTGACAGTGCCCTCAACACAACATTGCAGAAGTCATAACTTTAACATCTTATGATGGTGCAGGCAGTAGCTTGCTGGTTTCAGAATGATCACTTGCAGAGAAGCGTAACAATCAAATTACTTCTGAGGAGCAACATTTCAGGCAATGGCATAAAAAAGGCATCAAAACCATATAGACAAAATCAATGACATAAAAGGAGCTTACAACAAATCGACAACATAGAGAATTTATCTCAAAGCCACAGTGACCAGTATTGTCCAGAACAAGTTGTCCACATGCCAAACAATTACTGAAGCAGCAACTGGTAGAAATTGGCCCCCTGATCCATCAGTCAAGGACCTGTACATAAATTACTGCACAGTAACTGTACAAAAATGCACAGCAGAAAAGTTCGACCCAAGCAGCACCTTGTCCAAGGCATTGGGACAAAAAGACAACACCTAGGGGAATCCGACAGATTGAATAAATTAGTGCAACTCGGGGGCAAGGCATAACCAAGATGAATATTTAAGGTGGCACAAAGTAGTAACAGGCAAAACAGGCCTTGGTACTGAATTCTTCAGGCATGACTCTTGACTGGTCAATGGAATGGATCTTTTTTTTCCCTCAATTCCTAGCACCAGCATGCTTTTTGCGAGTTGTCCATCCCTTCAGGTTTGCTGTTATCCTCCTCTAAATCGGCTATATCAAGTTCATCGGGGGTTGAATGACGGAGTCCATCAAGCTCCTTCTTATGAGTCTGTAGCACTAGTTCTGTCAGTCGAGTAAATGACTACAAAAGAAAACACATCCAAATACCACAAGATTAAAAAAAAATAAAGCAACTGCAATGGCTAAAATCCTTAGCAGTGACAGTATGTGATGTATTCATTTAATTTCCATCTCAATCTTTTATTAAAACAAGTGAAAATCTATGTTAAAAATAGTGAATCATGGCCAGTCTATCAGCACAACATTATTCGGTCAGTGTCTTTCAGTCTGTAAAATACAAGCCAATGATAGAGGCTGTATCCTCCCCAGCAAAAACTGCAATTTGAGTCTTAGCGGCACTAGGGCGAAGAACTCAACTCCCCAGGGAACTGGTGACGAGATACCGAGGACATGGATCCCAGCCTCTCAGGTTTCAATGTTAAAGTGAGCCACTGTGCAATTTTTCTGTTCAACAATGTCAAAGAATTTGCATCAAAAGAGAGTCTCCTGCAAATGACTTGAAAAAATGTAATGCTTCTACGCACCTCTTTAATGTTATAATTGGTGCAGGCACTTGTTTCAAAGAAGTCCATTCCATATTCATTTGCAAGCTACGGGAAGAAGTGTTGATATGGAATTCAACAATAGATCAAATTGTCTCACTGAACAGGTTTCAGATGTTACCAGAACACCCATTAATTAAACAATACAATAACAGATAAGATATTCCGCTCATCCAACACTGAAAAGTTGAATGTTGAATGGTGGAAGATATCCTCCGATGTGGATCAGCCTGCTGAGTAATAAATACCCCAAATACTTAGTTGAATTAATCATATGCAGTAAAATGTTGGAATAATGGTAATTAGAAACTCTGGAACACTCTCCCTCAATCCTGCCGCCTTGTCCCCTCTCTCCACTCTTTCAAGTCCCGCCTGAATACTTTCCTCTTCGACTGTGCTTACGGCCGGAGTCAGGCTCCGCCACTGTTAAGTGCTCTGAGATGCTACGCTACGTGGAGGGCGCTATATAAATACAAGTTGTTGTTATTGAATTGTGGAGTCCTGTAGCTCAGTGGTTAGAGCACTCGCTTTGCAAGTGAGAGACCCGAGTTCAATTCCAGTCAGGGCGAAACCTTGGGCAAGTTTCCTTACTCCACACACCTAATAATAATCCCTCCAAAAAAACCAAAAATAATAAATTGGTCATTTTCAATCTACGACTGTTTGTGGGACATTGCTGTGCGCAATTGGCTGCCGCGTTCGCCCACAAATATAGTCAATTCACTTTACAGTGTGTTCTGTGAAGCGCTTTGGGACGTCCTCCCGATGTGAAAAGCGCTATATCAAATGCAAGGATTATTATTATTATTATTATTGTTGTATAATGGTATAATATTTTGTTTAATAATGTAAAACACATGCCTGCATTTGACGCACAGCCTGGTCATGTTGAAACATGTTCTCATGTCAATTATGTTATGTGGTCTGTAACTCTGTCTGTCCAGTGCCTTGGGACATCCTCCCAAGTGAAAGGCGCTACACAAATGTAATTTTGTTGTTGTTGTTGTTAACGGGCAGTCATTGGTATGTAATAACTGCATGTTGTAATGATCACTCGGGTGAAGTACGACAGAGCAGCAAGCCTCTGTGGAATTGTTTTCCCATAAGAATCTATACTTTCAAAAGAGTAAACAATTACTGTAACAGTAACCCTAGTATATACAACAGGCCTATCATAGCATCCCTACTGTTGCTATCTCACAGATCAACTAGCCCACAGACTAAATTGAACCTGAGGTTTTCACAGTTTGTATGGTTCAAAAGAGGCATTAACTTCACCCAGTGAAGGGCCTATCTGGTTATTTTAGCTCTTATCATAATAGATCTTTGATCTAACTCACTAGAATACAGGATTATTAGGCAAACACTTACCTTTTGGCCTTGTTCTGTACCCACTTGCCTCCTTGGGTCTTCATCCGCTTTGTTGCCTACAAGAATCTTCTGCACGCCTTCAGGTGCATACTGGAGGAACACCATTCATTGTAAGTGACAGCCTAACTCCAAACATTAGGGGCAGAATCTCTCCCCCCCCACCACCCCGGCCCCCCTATTAAATTAAAACTGTATATTCTAAGAGAAGAAGAAGAACAAATTAAAGTTGTATAGCGGCTTTCACATTGGGAGGACGTCCCAAGGCATTGGGACAGTCAGGAATTTGGACCCTGAATCTAGAATGCAGGAAGATGGTGGTTCCTACCTCATCTACATCGCTGGCCCATTTTATTATGTGCTGAAAGGAACGTTCACTTGTGATGTCGTACACCAAAAAAATACCCTGCAGGAAAAGGATATTGGAAGACTCCATTTATTACACAAAAATCCACCACATTCATTGCATCAAGCATGGTACAGTCCTAGCAATGCAAAACAGTAATGACACCTGCAACGACCCCACCAATGAATACTATATAATTGCAAGTAGTTATTGCTGTAGTTGGATAGTTTCTCAGGGAAAAGGAGTTCACTAAAATGCTTTCACAGGTCAGCAGGCTATTCAACCTCAGGAGTACAGCAGTTGCATTCAGGAGCAGGATCCCACTTGTCTTATTCCAAACTAGTGAACCTGGCTCTTCTTACGCTCACTGAGCTGAGCAAACTCTGGGTGAACTGAGCCCATCCCTTGTCAGCAAGTTTCAGCACCAGAACGTATTTATCCACCAAGGCAACAGGGAGCTTATTTGCTTTGCAAAATCATTTGTGATGCTTATTGAAGGCTCAGTTTATCCGAGAAAATCCATTGCATCGAAGCGAATAAAGAGAAATATTTTGAGAGCATCGACTGTGTGCTGGAACTCACCTGGGCCCGTCTGTAGTACTGTTTTGTGATAGTCTGGTAGCGCTCTTGCCCTGCAGTATCCCTGAGAACAATTTTGAAAGAGGTGATATTAGATTATAACCGAGTAACAGTAATAATATTAATAATCCTTGCATAAGTACTTGGCTCAGAAGAATTTAGGTGCAATAATAAACAGGTTGCACAATATGTTTATTTAGCAACATGTTGCTAAAAATCAATACGAAGTTACTTATATTTTCAGACAGGCCATATGTAATCTGTCTGAACTACAAGGAAGCACGACCCCATTTCAACAACCAAGTGTGGTGATCCAGAGCACAAGGTGCCTCCACTGTTAAAAGTCCTCACCTCTCATTCGTATGGGCCAACAGTATGTTGTATGCAGTGTACGTACATACCACAGACTGCCTCTTAAACTGGGCTATGTTTTCAGAAAACATCCTAAACAATAGACTATTTGTTTTATATGTATATACAAACATATAAACACATACACAAACACACACGTACACCTAGATGAATAAATGCCACTGCAGCCCCCCCAAAAAAAATTACAATAATTACAATATTTAGCAAAATACACATCTCTTGATCTTTACATTGGCAGCACAGAGAGGTAAAAATATGAGAGAATACAATATTATTTATCTATGGTTATGGAAATACTACCAACACTTTGTTATTAGATGAGCACAATATTATTGATGGTCAAGGCTTTATTCATCATTGCATCGGTCAAGGAATATCAGTGTAGCAATCTATGAAAAACACACGCATTCACATTTATTTAATGAAAGCAATTTCATTAAAACAAAGTTGCTGCATTATTCTAACTGCAGATACGATTCCTCTTTACAATTTAAAATGCTGTATAGGGGGCCATTATGCTCTGTTCATTAAGTGTAGCATTGCATTCATGTAATGGAAAATTGAATTAGAAACTAACAGATGTGCTGCATTTAATAACACAGGATGGTCCAGATAGCTATAGTGGCTCCAATTGTTAGCCTGGCTAAAATCAATCGACTCCACACCCTCTGGGGTTTCAAACCTGGAACCTTTGGTTCTTATGAGCAAGGACAGGATCACACAAGGCTTCTACCCACTTAAAAACCTGGAAGCCCAATGTTGAGTTTTGTCCATTTCCTGTGTCAACCATTCTTGAGTGTCCTCTGAATGAATTACACAATTTTGACCCCCAGAAAGGTTGCAAGACTGCCGAGTCTCATTTCACATGGGACATGTCTTACTGGCAGAGAAAGGAGATTTTTGTGGCATCAGTTTGGCTTGCATATCAATGGAAGTGTTTTCACCCAAAACACTACTTGGTAAAGGGAGGGTCAAATTATACAAAAGAGTAAACCCACACGTCAAATCTCAGGTTAGCTTCAGAAATCACCACATACATTTTCTTACTACTAGACATGAAGAGGTTTCTATTTTTAAATGTCGCATGGCTCTTGGTGCCCAGATGTTGTTGTTGTTTGGATGTGGTGCTTGATAATACAGTAAAGCAGTGCTGAACTTTAGTTCTTTGAACTTCAGCCTGTGTTCAGGGAGCAGTGAAAAACGAACAGGGAGGAAAGTTAGTGGAGAGCAGCCAAGATAGAAATACTGCATTTTTCCAGGGTTAGGCTTTGTTGGCTCAGTTCCCTCAGTAGATGAAGCCTTGCCAAAGTACACATAGTTCTTCCCTGCTACTGACAATACAAAAAAGCCTGTTCCGGAGGATCCTTGAAATGCTGGATCTCTATTATCCTTGAAAGCCGAAAAGATTTCAATGGAAGTAAAATATACAACTGCTAGTGTGACAGTGCTGAGGCACAATAGACAGAACTCTGTTCCATTTTATTCAATATCTGCACAAGATTTCAATAAAATAATTCCCCTTTGGAAATCCTAAATTCCCCCAAATCACATAAAAAAATAACTTCCAAGGAGTACTGTACTCTCTTTTTAGAGCAAAACACTCCTGGGGATTCCAGGAATAGCTCACGCATTAAGTACTTGAAACATTTCGCAATCCATTGTTAATGCCACACAACACTTAACAGCAACCCTGCAATTTTTCTCTTTGACTGGCACCTAAATCGCAAATATACCCTATAAAGATCAAGTCTTAATCCTTTGTATTAGACATTAGGTTAAGGCATCAATCAATTTCTCAATTACAGTGCTCACCGGGGCTAAAATGAGCTCCAACCAAGTTGGTTAACGCAACTGCTATTTGTGTGAAATGTCAAAAAGTAGGATGCAAACACCGCAACATTATTATTTTTAAAAAAACATAGTACAACAACAATGTGTTTATTCGCATGACACTGACATTTATGTAAACACACATTGCAAACAGTGTAAAAGCCTTTGTCACTTTGACAGCTCAGTCCCTCCCACTGCAAAGCAGAAACACTTACAAACCGAGGAGAATGTTTTGTTTGCTCATTTAATTGTCCCCAACACTTTCAATTCTGTGCTATTTTTACAATCTTTAAATTCTCGTGATTCCAAACCAACGAAACAGCCACTTACAACCACATGGTCATATAGGATTTGCAACATACTGTACTTACACATGTAATGCAATATCAACAACAACAAATTACATTTGTATAGCAGCTTTTATGTCAGGAGGACATCCTAAGGCGTTGGAACAGTCAGGGATTTTGACTCTAGCTGGGGGTTGGGACAGGAGGTTGAAGGATAGGGTTTGGGGGGTGACTGAAAGTCGAAGAGGAGGATTTTGAGATGGGCTATTTTGAGATCTGCTATTACAAATAGTGCTAAAAATCTTGGGACAATGAAAGTAAACAGGACTGGTGTAAAATTATATAATAATGATACTTGCATTTGATATAGCGCATTATCGCGACTCCGAGATGTCTCAAAGCGCTTCACAGAATATTCTGTAAAGTGAATTGACTGTACATTTTGTGGGCAAAACACAGCAGCCAATTGCCCACAGTAATGTCAGTCGTTAATTGAGAAACCAAATTATTATTGTTTTTTTGAAGGGTTTATTACCTTTGGAAAAACAATCCTCCATTCAACTAACAACTAGGTTTCTACTTACTTACTGCTAGATAAACGTACAATAAAAAAGTTTTGGTGAACTCCACAGAATTTTTTTGGTAGGAGGGGAGGGGAAGAGGAACACAGATAAGTTAGCTGACTCCCTGAATGTTGGTTGTCCCTCCAAGCTTTGCTGAGATCCACTGCAACAGTTTGGATGCAGTACTATCAACACCCACCTGGTGGGGCTATAAGGAAACAAGCAGTTCACAAGAGGTTTGGGTGAAAAAAAACCTTTTTCCTATTTGATATCATCCTCCCAAAATAGCCACCTCTACCACCTTCCCATTTCTGCCCATCCACAGGAAATACTTAAGTGTTCTTCGTCCTCAATTTTCCACTGCGTTTGTCTCCTTGAGAAGATGGTGTACTCATACGTTTCACCCCCACCCCAACACTTGTGGAGAAAATCCCCTTTTGAAATTGCTATGGTTTAGACCCAGAGTTAAGGAGGGAAGTGACTGGTATGTATTTCTCACTCATAGAATGAGCGTCCTACAATATTCTCACTTGTGTATTAATTAATAGTCGGTGAATTTAAAAAGATTTAATGATGAATGTTTGTGAATGGATTTTATTAGTGATATTTTAATACATATGATGATCATCTGATGTAGGCATCACATCTTCCCGGGCACAGCTAGCCTATAGGAAACTCACTGAAAAAGGAATTTAACCATTTAGACCACAGGAAGCTAAATCTGATCTTGTCCTCACCAAATGGACATGTATTGGATGGTGATCAGGGGCAGGAAATACAGTTCAATTTTTCACTTCCACGCCTCAGGGTGATGAAGCTAATTGTGTCATGATACAACTCGTTGTCAGCACAGACAGGTGAGGACCTTCCTGATCTGCGCTGGACCAATTTTCGCCACAAATATTTGCAGTGACAGACTAGACACCGAGCTGTCAAACACCAGAAATGCAATGAGCTTGTCACAGGCGCTGAGGACAAACAAAAATCAATCAATTAACAAAAGACAAATCCAGAAGCACATAAAAGTGACATTTCATGCTTAACCCATGCTCACCCAAATTCTTCGGCAAACCCTTCTCTGCTAAAGAAAAATTGTGAAATTTAGGCTTTAAATGGATTGAAGTGTTGGCATAATTCTGTCAAAAAGCAATTTTGCTTCCAGCTACTGTATTTCCACTTGTCCAGAATCCTTAAATTCCAAAGTATGTTGTTGGTTGCGACTAAAACATTTGGGGAATCTCTGGAGAGATTACTCACATAAAATTCAATTTGACTTTTACATTAGCAGGTTGTTAGTGATGAATACTACACAGATCTATATAAATTGGGTAAATGTAACCTGCTACAATAATGTTTTTGCACCCATTCAAAATGATTATAGGTAATAAAAGGAGTATTCTGGTGGCTTCATTATTCTTAATTTAGGAGTACAGAAACGAGCATCTCTTAAATCCATCACAAACCAGTTATTCCCTCAAAGGGAGTAATAGTGAACAAAATGATTTCAACAGCAGTAAAAACTGTATAAATTATATATAACAACAACAACTTGAATTTATATAGTGCCCTCCATGCCGGACAGTGTCTCAGAGTGCTTTACAGTTTCGGATCCCGACCGAGCCAGGGGGAGGGGTGGGAAGGTGGTCAAAGGCGCGGTCGAAAAGAAAGGTCTTTAGCAGAGACCTGAAAATGGGAAGGGAGGGAGCGAGACGAAGGGAGTGAGGAAGGCAGTTCCAGATGTATATACATACATACACTTCACAAAATATATGCACTTTCCATTTGAAAAATTATGACTATTCAACCTGATTTGTGTGGCATCTTTGCAGATATCCGAATACGAAATGTGCAGTTATCACATCTCTGAAACACTGAATGTGCTTAAAATCCGAACGGCGAACTTGAAGACGGCCAAGATGGTACATTCACTCCATGAAAGATGAGGTAACATTTGGTTGCGACCAGGTGAAGTTTACCAATTCTTTTGGCTAAAAACAAAATAAATCTGGTGC